CCCCTCCCCTATTCACGCTCTGTCTCTCTCTGTCTCCAAAATAAATAAACGTTAAAAAAAAAATTAAATTCTAAGAAACGCACAAACCACCAGAACTGGCTCAGGAAGAAATAGAAAAACGGGGTAGACCCGTGACGACAGGGCGATTGGATCAGGGGTGGAAACTCCCTCCCTCCCTCCCTCCCTCCAGCCCGCCGAGGGCCGGGTGGCTTCAGGCCGAGTTCCAGCAAACAGCTAAAGAGGTAACGTCGATCCTTCCCCGTCTCAGCACTGCACACGTTCGGGGCGTCCCGGGTGGGCATCCTGGCCGCCCCACTCAGTGCCAGGAGCAGCCCCAGTGCGATGGCCCCAGACGTCCCCAGACGCGGCCCTGTGTCCCCTGGGGCAGGACCACCCCTCGGGTGAGCCCCTCTGCCCCGTCCCAACATCTCACCTTGTTTCCCTCACAGCACTGAGCACCAGGGGCGATCAGCTTGTGCGTTTTGGCTTTGGTGCCTCGCGTCTGTCTTTCTGGCGACCGTGCTTGGGGCTGGGCACCCCCTCTTCCTGCCACATCCCCGCCACCCGCCCCGCACCCCAGTCAAGATCTGCTCCCGAATAAATGCTCCCCAGACAGCTGTGCAACGAGTTGGAGGCACTTCATTTCGGACGTGGTCACCTTTGAGAATCACGGGAGAGCCACGCCCCCTGGAAAAACCCTCAAGTCCTCAAGAAAAACGGATGTGGGGTCGCAGCGGAGGAGGGACCCTCCCGGGGCTGTTCCGTGAGCCCTGGGTTGGAGCCCCTGTCCCAGCTGAGCCCGTGGGGAGCAGCCCTGGGCCTCACCTTCCCACTCCAGCTCATTGCCATTTCCCAGAAACTCCAGCGAGTCGGTCTCGTCCGGGGTCTCGATGTCGTCCACGTTGATATCGAGGTCATCAGGGGTGTCCAGGAAGTCGTCGGACAGCAGGGAGCCCTCGCTCTGATCCAGCGAAATGTTGATCTCGGGGGCGACCAGTGTCTTCCGCTTACGATGAGCTCCGTTGAAGTTCAATGTGTTGGGAGGGGCTGTTTGGAAAACGGGAGAACAAAACAACTGTGGCTTCTTCCTCCTTGCTCCCCCTGCCCGGTTCCTGATCCGGTGAGAGGTCTGCCCCACCATGTGGTTGCAAGTCAGGCGACATCCCTTCCGGACAGGTTCATGCTGTGCCCTTGCCGCCTGGACGTCAAGGGCGGGCGCCTGGACCTCGCTGCTTCCCGGCTCTGTGACCCCGCAGACGGAGCCTGACTTAATTTTACCGGCCGCTAGGTGAGACTCGCAACGGTGAGTCAGGTCAGGGTCACACGGATGGCCTGCCCGGCTCTAGACGGTGGGCCTGCCGACACCTGCGATCACTGTTGCCTTCCGGATGGGGCTGGCAGAGGACGCCCACATTCTGCTTTTCACCTCTCAGTGATGTCCACCTCCATAATCGCTGAAGTTTACTGATCACATCGCATGGGCCAGGCCCTCTCCGCAGCAACCCCCCCCCCAAGCGTTTTCCTGTTTCGACTTTGCGATATCCGCACAAGGCGAGTTCTGTTATCGTCCCCTTTACCAGGTGAGCAAACTGAGGCACAGAGGGATCTCTCTGGAGCTGGTCAGCGTGGGTATGCCTCATGGTTTGAACTGCTTTTTCCTGAAGACTCTTAGCTGAAACTCTGGTCTCCTTGTATGAGGTGGTCTCCCCCCCCCACCCCCCCCCGGGGCTGCCTCCAAGGGGTTAAAGCTGATCCGACAGCTAGCTGAGCAGGGCTAGCCCCTGACAGAGGTTGCCTTACGGGGGGGGGGGGGGAAGCCCCCAGATGCCCCTGAGCCAGCTCAAGGGAGACAGGTTGTTCTTCCAGAGACCTTGGGAACTCTTCCCCCAGAAGCGTCAGCGGACGGAATCATCGGTGGACAGTGAGGACAAAATAAATGAGCCAATAGGAGAGCCCTGGCCCTCTCTCGCCAGATGAAGACATTCATCGACACGTAATTCAACGGACAAGCTCCTTCCCCTTTTTGTCTTTGAATTTCTCCAGCCCTAAACCACGGGTCAGAGGTGACCGCCTCAGGACACACACTGGGATATAAATGTGTGCTTCTGCAGAAAACGGTAAAAACAAAATAGTCATGGGGCACCTGGCGGGGGCGGGGCTCAGTCGACTAAGCGTCTGACTCTTGGTTCCGGCTCAGGTCATGATCTCACGGTTCGTGAGTTTGAGCCCCGTGTCGGGCTCCGTGCTGACAGTGTGGAGCCTGGGATTCTGTCTCTCTCTCTCTCTTTCTGCCCCTCCCCTACTTGCACTGTCCCTCCCTCTCTCTCTCTCTCTCTCTCAAAAATAAAAGAAAGAAAATCGAATAGAATTTTCACTAAAAAAAAAAAAAAATCTGATGGAATTTGTCCTGCCAAATTTCAGACTTGCTGGGACTGACGATCCCTTTCTTTCCTCCTGTTTCTGCTTTTCGGAATGAGGACATCTATCCCATGCCTGTCCCACCGTCATATTTTGGAAGCAAATAACCTGCCGGGGTTTCACGTGTTCACAACTGAAGAGGAATTTTGCCCTGAGTCTTCTTCCTCTTATGGCCCTCAACTGATTAGATGAGACCCACCCATAGTAGGAAATGCAATCTACTCTACTCAGAGTCTAGTCATTTAAATGTGAATCTCATTGAAAGAGTGACTTTCAATGGAAACCTCTAGAATAATGCTTGACTACATCTCTGGGTACTGTGGCCCAGCCAAGTGGACGCATAAAATTCACCACCAAGTCTCTCCATCTCCTTAACTAAATGTCATTTGTGAAGTCCCTTTTGCCACGTGAGGGGACATTCACAGATTCCAGGATTAGGATCTGGATATGCTTTGGGGGCTGCGATTCAACCAGTCACACCTAGGAAGAGGCGTATGGTTGTCACACACCTCTCGTTTTGCAGAGGTAGGAAACAGAACGCCAACACAGTCAGGGGACTCGCCCAAGATCACCCTCTGGGGGTGACAACGACAGGCAGAGTCCATGTGCTCAGGTCAAAAGCAGGCCCAGTACTCTAGGGGGACCAACCATCCTGAGTGGCCCCAGAAAGCTGGGACAAGCTGGTCTTAGCTCTTACTGCTGTGTGATATCAGGGGCGCGGCTGTCCCTCTCTGGTCAGTCTTTCCTCCGAAAGGGTAGGATGAGCTGTGATGAGCTGCACGGGGGAGACGCAGGCAGAGTGGGCCCCCCCCCAGCAAGACCACATGAGGGGATGCCACTGAGGAGAACACATGTTTAGGACAGTTCCTCTGGCTGTCCTGGACCCCCTGTCCCCAAATTCTGGGGCTTTGGGTCCTCAGAGCCGTGAGCCTTCCTGAGCGCTTAGGACAGCAGAGCCCTCCAGGGCTGACTTTGCGCCTGGCGTCCCCTGGGCACTTAACACATGTCACCTCATTTAATCCTGGCAGTCCCCCTTC